CTCGGCACCCGGAGCAGCCCCCTGGCACAGGCAGGGCCCCACCAGCAGCCACCCTGGGCTGGGTTGGCTGGAGGAGCCTCGGCCGAGCAGCGCAGCCGGGGGACCCGGGGATGGGTCGCCAGCGCTCGGTGCGATGGGACCTTTAAGACTTATCTTCTTCCTGTGATTTTGACTGAATCTCTCCAGCTGTAATTAATTGAATGCATCTGTTCTAACCCTGGGGCTGCTGTATGGCACAGTTACTTCAAAACTGTTCAATTAGCGGCCACTAAAATCTAGGTCGAGTGGAGCTCCATACTGGGGATTTTCCAGGTCAGGACATTTTCAGAATACAGAGTCAGCCCTGCTTTGTTCGGTGAGGCCGGTTGGCTCCGCGCGTTGTGGCAAGGTCGGGAAATGGCAAACTGCGACTTCTTTTGAACGGTGATGAGACGACGAGCCCGGCGGTGTAAGTGCTCCAGCAAACACATTTTAACATAATCCAGAGCTGCGAGGGACAGTTGTAACTGTCAAGTACGTGAACTGCTGAGTTCAGGTGATTCCCAGCCAGCGACGTAAACGTCACCAGTGCAGGCCTTCAGGACTCGGTGGAACGCAACACAGCTTGATTTTGGAGTGCCTTTTGTGGGCACACAGTGCTTCACAGAGCTAAATGACACGAGACGTGCTACACGGTGTGAGTTACAGGAAACAGCAGCACAGCAGACAGCGTATGGTGAATGAATTAGCAGCCTCGGTCGTGCCGTCGAGGGGAGAGGGAGGTAGAAACTCAGGGGAAGGAGGGGGTGGGTTGATGTACGGGGCAGCTCGCAGCTCTGCAGGGTGCGTGGAGCAGGCTGAACCCCAGCACGCGTGGCCGGATTCAGCAGCAGCACCTTCAGCCGGAGGGTGGAGGGGGAGACAGGGCGAGGTGCGAGCAAGGGAGAAGGAAGACGGCTGCGGCTGGGATCTGAAGTGCAGGAGGATGGCGAGGGGAAGGGGGAGCCACAGCAGTGATGGGGACCGGGCATGAGCAGTTTGCATGGGGTGGGAAGGGGGAGACGTGCCCCACGGCAGTGGGACGGGGCTGCGTCGGGGCGCAGTGGGCTGTCGGGACGTGCCCTCGTGGTGGGGCTGGTGGTTGGCCGCCTTCCTCACCCGCTCGCTTCCAGGGAACAGGGAGCTCTGAAGAAGGTGAAAGAAAAGCAGCCGTCCATCCAGAAATGCTAAGAAAACGGTTTTGAGGAGCTCAAATGTTTGCCAAAGACAAGGGTGGAACAAACAAGCGTAAACAAGATTTATCCATTAAATTAATTAAATTGCATTATTGTGGATTATGTTTATTTATTAATAAACAGCTGTAGCATGGAGAAAATTAGTAGCTCACCCAAGAGCAACAGCAGACCGGTGGCAGATTCAGGACAACTGTTTGAGACTCCTGGGTCCAGATTCTGTGACTATACTTTATTGTAATTTATATTCCTAATTGAAGAGGATATTGTCCTTAATGAAAGCCTGTAGAAGCGGAGATGATTATGGCTGAGGCAGGCTATAAACAGGCAGCTTTAAAGCACACACCTCACCCTTTAACATTTCTAAGTCATTCGAGGTGCCAACTTACTAATAAAATGTGACATTAACGTTCAGAGAACAGCCAAGGCAGAAGTTGACAAAGTTCTCCAAAGCAGCAGGCTACTTCTGGAAGGTGACTTACCATCTTCTGCGTAACCTATGAAAAAGGAGCCCGTCTTATCCTTCTGCAAGGCTTTCTGGGGGATGGCATTGCCCACACCTCTTGGCCAGCTGAGGGACCTTGATGTCCTCTCTTGGAGCTCGAAACAGCATGATTTCAGCTTCCTTGGGCTTCCCCAAGACATCCAGAGGGGTCATGAGAAGGGGGTGCTGGCCTGGGTTTGGCAGCTGGAGCAGGTGGAGGTTGTAGCACTTGTCCTCCCTGGGCAGCCTACAAAGCAGAAGTTCCTTCCCAAGCTAGACATGGGGTTGGAGCAGCGTGGGTGCTGGGGGGGACACCAGCTCAACTTTCCTCCCACAGCTTGACCTGTGTTTTGTTTCCCTCTAGATCCTGACAGTGTCAGGCCCCCCAGAAGGAGGGACGAGGGTGACCATCCGTGGCGTGAACCTGGGCCTGGATTTCTCCGAGATCGCCCACGGGGTGCAGGTTGCCGGGGTGCAGTGCACGCCCCTGCCCGAGCAGTATGTCATCGCAGAACAGTGAGTGGCCTCGGGACCTCACCCGTCCCCTCCGCGGGTCCCCAGGGCTGGCCAGCCTGCGCACAGCCTCCTCCCCGACCTCCAGCACAGGAGGCCAAGAACTCATCCAGACCCTGGGCACCATCTCTCCACCCTTCCCAGCCCTGCAGGAAGGGGTCTGGAGGTGGATGGTGCCTGGACCAGGGCGTGCAGCCCTACACTAGAAAGGGATGAGGTGCTTGGATGCTCTCTCGGGGGGTTAAGCAGCCCTTAAGGTTTTCATTAAGTGTTGTGTTCCCTTCCACGCCGCAGTTCCTGCTTTGCTAAGCAACTTTTCTGATGAGCACCTTGCTATTGACGCTGAGGCTCTCTGCCCCCTCCGCTCCCCATCGCACTTGAAATTCAGCCGGCGCTGCTGGCTGCACGCAGCCATTTGTTAGGCGGGCGAGGCGGTGACAGCCGCTTAATCCGAATGGGCCTCCTCTGGAGTCAATTCATTTATTTCACTAAGAAAAATGTCAACCAAAAATTAGAAAATAGGCATGTAACGGAGGATGGGTGAATAAAAGTCCCAAAGTGACACGTGCTCCTTGCTGTTGCTGTTTCGGGAGGGGTTGTTCTGGTACAGGAGTCAGGACAGGAGAGGAGCGATATGTGACGTCTGCCCTTGGGTTGTCTCATCCCACCTGCTGGGGACCAGACATGGTGTCGTGGGTGGCAGGGCCGTGGCTGCTCGCGGCGAGCGTGGGGGAGCCCGGGGCCCATCAGTGGTCCCAGCGGCACAGACCTGCCCCAGCTCCAGGAGCAGCTGCGAGCGGTTGTCCTCTGGTGGTGAAATGCACTTGGTGGGTCCCAGTCCCACCACCAGCGTGGTGGAAGGACCTGTCACTAGCACGTCTTGCCATGGGTTTGCTTTTTGCTCGCTCCTTGTCGTTGTTTCCACACCTGTGAGACAGAAATGCCATTAATCTCCCCTTCCGAAGAGCGAGGGCGTCTGTGGTAGATGGGTCTCTCGCCCGGTGACGGGATGAAGGGTGCTGTGGGCGTGCGAGGCATCGCTGGCGTTCCTGCAGGAACGGCTCCGAGCGCCGCACCGATCGCGCTGTCGCTGCGAGCGATTGGGGCTGGTCTGCTGAGCAGCATTTTGTTTTATTTTATTTTTCAGATACAGGATGGTAGATTATAAAATTACCCTCCTTTGATGCTATGAAACCCTGATTTTATAATCATGACTAATTACAGCTCTTGAGCTTTCAAAGTTTGTTAACATCATTAAAACATTTACCCTGGGCAGATAACAGCAAGCGTTAGCATGAGAGCTGCCTTTTAAAGATGAATACGGATAAAAGGACCCTCTTAAGGGTTCTGTGGGCAGACTGAATTCCAAGACTGTAATGACTCACCATATGCTCCAGCCACGCAATCTATCAGCCAGCAATTAGGTTAATGTTGGTGAAAGGGCCACTTAGCCCAGCAATCGGCACCCTACAGCTCTGCCGAATGCATCATTTTGTAACGAGGTACCTGCTGGGGAGTTGGCTTTTATCGGGATTTGGGATCAGGTGTACCAGGTCGCTTGTGCCCCTGTCCCGCGCCTGTGCTGCCTGGTACTGTGTGGCAGCAGCTGCTTTGCTGGCAAGGAGTGGAGTATTTGGTGTTTTCCCCCTGTACGTAGCATTTGGTGTGTCCTTGCTTCTTGGGGGAGAAAGCCTCCGCTCTCCTCTCCCACCCGCAGGCTCTCAGGATCCCTTCACCTGGCAGGAAGGGAGGTGATGGCTCCCAGCTGCCAGCCTCCACCCCAGCCCACAGCCCCGAAACCCTGCCTGCTTGCCCGTTTTGATGTGCAGTAAGAAGGACTTGCACATTAGAGCTCTTGGCTAGCATACATGTGTTTCGTTAGGGCTCCTGGCATCACCTGTGCATGTTGTCTGCAGGTTCTTTTCTCCTTTAGTCTTTTACTTTATTTGTAGTGAATTTAATGGCAGTTGAAGGCAGTGGGAATGCTGCCTTCAGTGGCATTAAATTCACTACAAATAAACTAAAAAAAAAAAAAGCAAGTGGAAACGCTGCCTTCACAAATTGGAGCCGTCTGCACGTGATCAGCAGAAGAGCGAGCGTTTCGCTGCCGCTCGGCCTCACGGGGACAAGGACGCTCTGGCTCTTGTTCTGGTCTCGCTCTCGGGGGCCAAACACCGACCGGCAGCTCCCCACCGCGTTTCTGGACCCCGCTGCCCGGAGGCAGGTTCCTGCTGTCCCGGGGCTTGCAGTGCCTGGCGGGGTGCTTTGGAAACCTCGTCTTTCCAGCGCTGCGGTGGGAGCAAGCAGCATCCATCCCCTTTCGGTGCACAGCGGGAGAGCCCTGCCGGCTGCCCTCCCTGTGAGATCCTCCCTCGGAGCTGCTGGTGGGACGGGCGTTCGCTGGGGCTCGTCTCCAGTAGGCAGCATGCCTTCCCAGTGCCCTGGGGTTCGTGGGTTGTCCACCTGTGGGGAGTGTGAGGAGGGCTGCAAGGATGGTGAGGGGACTGGAGCATCTCTCCTGCGAGGAGAGGTTGAGGGAACTGGGCTTGTTCAGCCTGGAGAAGAGAAGGCTGAGAGGGGACCTTAGAAATGCCTCTAAATATCTACAGGGTGGGGGTCAGGAGGATGGGGAGGAAGAACTTCTTCCCTCTGAGGGTGACGGAGCCCTGGCCCAGGCTGCCCAGGGGGGCTGTGGAGTCTCCTTCTCTGGAGATATTCCAGCCCCGCCTGGACGCGGTGCTGTGCAGCCTGCTCTGGGTGACCCTGCTTGAGCAGGGGGTTGGACTGGGTGACCCACAGAGGGCCCTGCCAACCCCGACCATTCTGTGATTCTCCATCTTCCAGCCTGGCCCGCTGCCGTTAGCCCCAGCAGCTCTCCCTGTCCGTGCAGCTTTCCCTGCCTCGGGACGCGCCCGTGGCGCTGAGCTGGGCACGAGCTCGGTGCCTTTCGGTGCTGCTGACTCCCTTTACCAGCGTCGGCATGTTCAGCGTCAGCCAGCCCGGTCTCCCCTGCAAAGGCTGCTCGCCATGGCTGTCTCTATCATCCCCGAGCAGGTTTCTCCGTTTTTGATTAACTGGGAGACTGCAGTGTGAGCTGTTCCCTTAATGAACTCATCTGTTACTCTAAGGACTTCGCACTCGCTTTGCTACTGGGTAATATATTGCCATTAGTGCTCTGCTTTGCTCTGGAGTTTACAGCTTGTAATAATTATGTCTAATTTTGATTTTTTTTCTTTAAATTACTACATGGGGTAAAAATAGACTCAGTAATTAACTTCTTCCAAAGAGGCAGATATCAAAGTTAAAGAGGGGGGAGAGAAAAAAAAAAAAAAAAGGAGAAGAAAGCCAGGCTTGCTGGGAGCTGCGCAGGGCACTGCTGGCACCTCCTGCCAAAGCCTCACCGCGGCGTTTCTGCTTCCAGGATCGTCTGTGAAATGGGGCAGGCGCTGCCAGGGATCAGCTCCGGCCCGGTGCTCCTGTGCATCGGCGAGTGCAAGCCGGAGTTCACGATGTCACGGCCAAGTCGGCGCAGCAGTGCGTGTTCGTGGTGAGTGTCCGGCCGAGGCGGGGGAGCGGGGCAGCACGCGTGCCCCCGGAGCAGCCGTGCTCTGCGAGTGCGCGTGTCGGACGGGTGGGTTCAACGCCAGAAGGCAATCCCAAATTTGCCATCGTTTTCTGATGCTTTCCCCATGGCATAGCACAATTTGTTGGTGGCCCACTCAGCGAGCCAAGTTTTCAGGACCTAGAGCTTGCACAGGCCCGCAGAATAAACAGGATTGAGGTGGGAGCCTAAACCCAGGGTTCCCACAGCATTTGGTTTCAGCTTTGCACCTTCCAAAACAGCCACAGCCTTCTCTAAATTGCTGGGCTCGCTTACTCCTTGCAGAGTGCATTGCAGGAGCCTTACACGAAGCGTAACTTTGTTCTGCACCTGAGGAACTGTCGAGGAATTGGAGTCAGCGCTCAGACTTTTCCTCTGTAATGAAGGGACGTTGTTACTTTGGTGTTAGTTAATGGGCTGAATCTAGGGCGCTGCTTCCTGCTGGTTTTGAAGATGTTTCTGTATATACATGTGTGGTACGTACATGTGTAGTACATACAGGCATAGTACATGTGTAGTACGTACATGTGTAGTACATATGGGCACCAACAGGCCCGTTTGCATGAACACAGAAACACACAGCAGGAGAGCAAGCACCAGAGCCCGTCCTTCTGCAGCTCAGCTACTGAGGTCCTGCAAGAACCTTACTCAGCTGCCTGTGAAACCTAAACACATCTGTTGGTTTCTGTGTCTGTAGATTGAATCTTTTCCCCATGATGCCCTTTGGGATGTAAAGGTAATTCATCCAAATATTCAGGGATTTTTTTTTTTTCCTGTCCAGGGATGCTGGTTCAGTGTAGGCTTTCTCTGTGCTGCTCTTTGGGTCGGTGGGCTTCCGTTGGTGGGGTGGGTCGTTTCTTGCTGTTGTTTAATTAGCAGCCTTTTGATTCGTAAGCTTCAAAGCCACAGCTGGGGTTTCTCATATCTCCAGTTTTGCCTAAACAGGGCCCTTCACCCAGCCACGTGGATTTTGTGCTGAGTGGGATCTGTGTGCAGGGAAACGCCAGCACTCGCCAATTGTCCACAATTTGTAAACTAACGGAGAGGTAAATCAGGCTAGCCCTTGCCACCCTGGCACCGTGGTAAGCGACGCCCTCTCTGGGATTTCGTTTATTCAACAGCCTAGCAGGGGTGCAAAATATCACCACGTTTCGCTCAGCTATGCCCGAAACCGCTGTGATCGTCACAGGGCCCTGCCAGCACGGTCCCCAGATTTGCCGTTGCTGGAAGGCAGGTTCCCGTGCGACACAGGAGGAAGCTCTCTTGCTTTGTGCCGAATGATAACCGGCAGCCAGCGGGAGGTAATTGCGGGGATGAATCTTGGAGCAGTACCTGGCAGCAGCCCGGTGAGCGGATGCCCAGCGTTGTCATCCTTTGTGTTGTGGCTCCTGATTTCCAGCACTTACCCCGATTCCATCGTTTCTTTTGCTCCGGCATCTAAAACTTCTAGCACATCATTTCCTTTTGTTAGTTGGCCTCTATTTTTCTCTTTAGCACCGCCACAAATTCCGTTACAGCTGGTTTATGCCGTTAAAGTCAGTGGTAAAATTGATTGGTACCTTAAAGCAGAGCTCTGCTCTGACCCTGAGAGGGTTCATGCCTTGGTGAGCTCATCTGGTGCCTGACACTGCGCAGGAGCGGTGCTGTCACCTTAATTACACCCCGTTTATCTGGGGAGGTGGAACCTTGGAGCTGCTTTGGATCTCTAAATCTGTCATAACTATCAGCAGATCGTGAGCTGAAGATGGAAAACTCTTGCTCAGCTTTCAGGCCCTCACCTGATGCTGGCCTCACCCCAGCCTTGGGAGTTTTTGCAGGTCCCTTGGGTGGGCCCTCAGCTCTCCTGGCTTCTCCTTGCTTGCGAGAACGACTGCTCGGGGTTACAGCCCGAGTTTCTATTTTTGGCAGCGCTTTGAGTTTCCGAGGATGGCGATGCTTAGCCAAGGTGATGCTCGCACCAGAGACGTCAGATGCTTGTAGCCAGGAGGTGCTTATAACTGATTCTGAATGCAGAGGAGGGCTGTGCTGTCCAGTACGCGTGCAGCTCTGTCACTGGTGTGCGAATGGGAACGGCTGGGCCTCGTGGACGTGTTAAACAACCGCTCGTGTCTGGACCGGGGCTCCCCCGAGCAGGTGGCCCAGGGATGGGGTGGGAGGAGGGAGGTGGGTGGCTGGTGGGGGGCTCTCGCTGTCCGCAGGGGTCACAGCGTCGCAGCTTGTTCCCAGCTCACCCTGGGAACAGGCGCCAGGGCTGGGCTGGAGGCTGAAGGAGGTTTTGGATGGCCACTCACCCGTTGACCATCCTTTGGAGGTGTTCTGCATTTTGGAATCGCTCCTCTTGGTTGTATGGAGTGCTCCCAAGCCTGCCTCGTGTGAACACTGCTGTTGCCATCCGTATCGTCTAGCGCTGCCGTTAGCTGGGGTAATCACAGAATATCCTGAGCTGGAAGGGCCCCACAAGGATCATTGAGTCCAGCTCCCGACCCCAGCTAGGACAAGAGCTGTGAGCTGACCATGAGCAGCTGAAGGACGAATCTTTCCCTCCTGTAACATTATTCCATAATCACCCACAGCAGGGTGGACTGCGTGTTTTCCTCTGGTCTGTTCAGGAGTCGGAGAGTCTTTTGGTCTGAGCTGCTTTGGCAAATGCTGTGGCACCCAGAAAACACATGTTGCATTGTGAAAACAGTAGAGGAACGAGGACAAACTCACGGAGCTGCCAAGCAGGTGGTACCAGGGGAGCGGAGCTGGGAGCCTGCCAGCCTGCGCAGATGAGAGCCATAAAGAGGGGAATGCGAAAGCATTAGTCGAACAATTTGGTAATAGCCACTGATTGAAAACAAATAAAAAGGTACCTGCTTTCTGCAAATTCTATTAAGGGGGATAAACAGCTATCATGGTGCAAGGCAGGATAAAGACATGGCATTGCTGCAGTGGTATCACCAATAAAATGTGGAGTGGCATCTAAGCTCGCCCACCAAGGACGTCTGTCCATCAGCAATGGGGAACAGGCTCTGCCCCCACAGTGCTGTCACTGGTGGCTCGTATTGAACTGGAGCTGATGGTGCTGCCTTTTGCGAAAGTTGTGCAGCGTTTCCTATTGCCAGACACTGGTGGGGATTTTTGGTGCTCTGCCACATTGGCAAGCTTTAAACATTTGGGTTCAAATTCCCTTTGCGACAGTCTGCTTGGCTTGGGATATATTTCAGATTCAAAACTGTGGTGCAAATGGCTTACCTTTGTTTAAGAGCAAAGTCAAAGGTAAATATGTGCTTTAGCCAAGGCTAAATTTGGAATAATTTTGTTGAGGCACATCTCTTTCGGTTTTGAAAATTTAGCAGGAGATTTGTCAGATGTCCAGGACACATCCCCATTTTGCTTTTTCATTTTAAAAAGGGTATCCCCGCTTAGCCAAAGGTGAGAAGATGCTCTTGGGGCCCATGGTGACCATCTCCGGGCACTACCTGGGAGCCGGCAGCCGCGTATCGGTGCTCCTGGGAAACCAGACCTGCGAATTCTACGGGTAAGGGGCCGAGCCGGGCCAGCGCAGGCTCCTGCGCCCTGCACCGCGTCAGCTGCAGGCAGCACTGCAAACGTGAGATGTGCAAAAGTCAGCCGTGTCTGCCCCCAGCCCAGCAGATCTGAAGAAAACGTAACGTTTATAAGATCCAGTTTCTCTTTTCAGATGAACAGCTTGCGTACTTTTATTGCAGCCACTGCTGCAGGTACCTCAGCCTCCTAGAAGTGGGCTGAGCAAGGGGTGGGCTTCTGTGAGGCAGAGCAAAGCGGGGATCTGCACGCGCCTTCTGCTGAGAAACGCGCACAGCCATCAGTCTCCTCCGGGATTTCTATGGCAAATTTGCTTTTTACCCAGCAGTGTAAACACGGAGTTGACATTTGCAGGGTTTAATGGGTTTTCTCGGGGCTCAGTTAGAAAGAGATACATGCAGCGTACATCTGTGTGCCTCACGTACACATCCGTGCCCCGTACCAGACGTGCCCGGGTGCCCCGAAGCAGCTGGCAGATGCATCTCATGGCGTGGGCGCAGCCTGGGCGGGAGCCTGAGCGCAGCGGAGTGATGCGCAGAGGGGTTCTGCCTGGCAGATCCTCGCTCAGGCTTCCCGGGAGGCCCCGAGGACGTTTCTGGGAATGTAAAGACACCCGGAGGTGTGGGAGACTGCGGGGTTCTCTGACGCGGGAGCTGTGGGTGTTCAGGCGTGGGAGCGCGTTGGGGTATGAGCAGTGCTTGTTCTAGGCGTGTCCTAGAGCGGTGCTGCAGGAGGTCTGGACGTGCCGAGGTCTGCAGTGCAGGTGCACTCTGCGGGTGCTAAGCATTGTAACTGAACCATCGACATTTCTTCCCGTGTCCAAAGCAAAGATGCCAGACCGCATCCTCGGATGCACACGGGTAACGGCGTTACCACCAGCAGCAGCCTGGGAGCAGAATCGGCCCTGGCACATAATCCCTTCAATATATGGCTTTATTCAGGCAACCTGCAGATACTGACCTGCAAAACCTGGAAGAGTTTGGAGTCCTCTCTGTGTTCCGATTGCAGCAGGCAAGCAGAAACTTCTCAGAGCAAGCGGCAGCACATGGATGGCACCGTCCTTCATGTGGGCTCACGCTGCGTGCTGTGTTTGGCTTGGACTGTTTTGAGGCGACCAACTTCAATTGTTCTCGAGGGTGTGGGGGAGCCTGATTAGATGAAGCAGTTTCTAATGAGATTCGCTCTAATTACAGCTTCCCCCATTCTCCCCTCTCTGATCGGAGGCGTGGGTAGATTCACCATGACGACATAATAACAGCGCAGAAAGCTAATTAACTGATCACGGGGAGCGGAGAGCAGCGCTGCCGGCAGCGCCGTGTCACTCTGGGTCTGGCTAGGCCTGTCATTGCATCAACAGAAGCAGTGAAGTCCCGTTGGTTTCGGGTGTTTTAGGAGGTTGTTTCTGTTCCCTTGGCTGTGGTGGACGGGCGTGCCAAGGTGTGGGCTGGGAGCATCGTGGTGCTCGCTGTTCGATACCCCCTGAGATGCCCAGCGCTGCGGGGTGTGCCACGCTCCTTCGGGAGCACGGGGAGTGTGTAAAGGCTCTGAAAGGGGGTGACACAGCATCCCCTTGCCAGGTACGGGCGCGGGAGCTTTGCTGGAAGCAGAGCAGGGGCACGGCTGCGCTCGGTGGCTGAGGAGGGTGAGGATGGTGAAGAGTAGACAGTCAAGATTGCCAGTTTGTGACTTAAGTGCTGATCTGCCAGCGAGGTGCTGGAGACCTGCCTGCTCTCTCCTGTCTGAGAAGCCAAAACTAAAAGAGCCACGGAAACAGCACGGCCTTTTTGGCGAGCCTGGGGCTGCCCTGGCCAGCAGAGCGGCCCATAGGTGCCCATGCTGAGGTATCAGCCTTCAGGGACGTCACTCAGCGCTGTGTGCAGGATCGGCGTCCAGGCTCGCCGCAGAGCTGTGCGGTTCCTCGCGGCTCTGTCCCAGCAGCGGGAGCGGCGACGCTTGGATCTGATTCCACTTCTCCACCCACCCACTGGTGCCTTTGTGCTTGGGCAGCGCCTCGCTACCCTGCCGCCCG